AGTACCCTTAGAAGCACCAGCGCCAGCAGCACCTCCAGCGCCAACACCCCCACCACCTCCAGCTCCAGCAGCTCCAGCAGCACCAACTCCAGCAGCTCCAGCAGCACCAACTCCAGCAGAACCGTCAGCTCCAACAACCCCAGCAGCAACCCCAGTCCCAGCAGCTCTAGTACCGCTAGTTCGAGCACCTCCAGGACCAGGGGCTCCGGTAACTCCAGTGCCGACCCCAGGGTCAGCAATAACAGTAGCACCTCCAGCTCGAGTAGCACGGCTCCAGCGCCGGGCAAACCACTCGCGCAGCTCCTGTGTAGAGGGTAGCTCCCGCCTCGACGAAGCACCCAAAGGGGCCCCAAACCCAGCTCCGCAAGAGGCCACACGAGCAGACGCAGCACCCCCAGGCTCCGCACTTCCAGGCCCAGCCCCCCAGGCTCCGTACCCCCAGGCTCCGCACCCCCAGGCTCAGCACCCCCAGGCTCCGTACCCCCAGGCTCCGCACCCCCAGGCTCAGCACCCCAAGACTCAGCTCCCCCAGGCTCAGCACCCCTAGCAGGACGAGAGTCAACAGCTACCTCGACAGGCTCGACTGCGTCTACCTGGGACACACCTGACGGGGCAAGACCCTGAGGGGGGAGGGGGTCTATCGGGGGGGAACTGGCGCAAGGAAGAGTGGCGGCGGGGGGAGGGGTGCAGTGCAGTAGGGGAAGAGACGGTAGTAAGGAACCGACTCGTCAAACGTGACGTCCTGGGAGGACAGAACACGGCGCGAGGTGGGGTGGTAAAACTGCCAACCAGGCGCGTCAGGGGGGAAGCCAAGGAAGACGCAGGGAACAGCACGGGGGGACAGCTTGTCCGCAGACAAGTCGCGGACAAACGCCCGAGATCCCCAGACACGAAACGCAGACGCATCGCCAACCTTCCCCGTCCACCGCAAGGTGGGGGAGGTTTCCGGCAAGGAGACCCAGGGCTGAAGGTTGGTCTGATGCGCTGCGTACCGAATAGCAAACGGCCACAGAAAATGGGGAGCAGCCGCATGAATTATTGACGTACGAGCGACATCCATGACCATGCCAATGCGGCGCTCAGCAATCCCATTTTGCTGTGGAGATGCCGGAAGCGTGAAGGTCTGGTGGATGCCCTGTGCACGACAGAAGGCTCCCAGAAGGGCAGAGGAAAACTCCCAGCCTCTTTCCGAGTGCAGACGCAGAACAGGAAAGTCCGAGCCGAAACTCTCTCTGAGCTGGAGACGAGCTGCGCGGATCCAGTCGATCAACACCTCAGTGACGTCACCCTTGCTGCGCAAGGGGAACACCGTGGTGTAACGTGAGTAGTCGTCAACCACCAACAGGAAGTAACGCTCGTGACCTTGGCCACGGACGCGGGCGGGGCCCCACACGTCCATGTGAAGAGTCTGCAGCGGAGCCTCCGTCGGAGGAAACTCGGAGGAGTGAGGAGCGGCGCGCTGCCGCCCCTTGACGCAAGGAACGCAGATCGGGGCAGGCCCCGGAGGGAGGGGAGGGAGGGACCGGGGGAGACCAGAGACAAGGACACGGGAGGCCATGCCTCGGAGACGAGGCAGGGAGGGGTGACCAAGGCGGTGGTGCCAGAGGAGAGTCTGGTGGGACAGGAGACGACACGAGCAGGGAGCACACTCAGGACCAGACCTAGACGCTGCAGCAAACACCTGACTCAACGCAGCTACTTGACCAGACTCAGCAACCGGAGGAGACTGAGTAATCAGTGTGTACAGGCTCGACCCCGGCCGACGGGTAAACGTGGCCAAGTGTCGGCCCGTCCGAGCACACGTACAGTGGGTCACCCGCTGACTCGCAGGAGTGAACTAGTCAACCCCCCTATCCTGTAGATCAGCACCACTCACCAAGTTCGTAGAGAACGAAGGGAGGTAGGGACCCGACAGGGTGCCAGAGGGGACTGCCGGACACGGTAAGACAGTGGAGAAGCGAGCAAGGACAGGACCCCCAGAGGGGTCCGCCAGGGAGACCGCAACCAGGCGACTAGGCGGCGTAAGTGTGGTGCGGTCTCGAAAGAAGGAGCGGGAAGCACCCGAGTCAAGGGTGAAGGTGTGTAAGGCCTGAGCCGACGTGGTACCTGAGAGAGCAGACTCACCAGCACCTGGGGCAGCAGACGCAGTAGCACCTAGAGCAGCAGCCTCACCAGCACCTAGAGCGGTAGCCTCAATGAACGGGTCAGGCGGAACACACAGGTAACAGTCACCCTCATCACTAGTAGACACAGCATACATGGCAGCAAGAATAGCATCATAATCAAGATCAAAGATAGCAACCCCCGCCCTAGACAGCTCTCCCCAGCGAGGGATCTCAGTGGCGTCAGGGAACTGGAGACGCCAAGCGTCCGTTTGGCGGCCGAAGCAGCGATGGGTGGAGTGCGAGCCCCCGCACTGCTCACCAGGACGTAGGTACAGGGACCAGTACCCCCACGTCGCTAACGCCCAGCGTACCACTCACGAAGCTTCTTGGGGGACGGGGTCTCACGAGTGCGCTGCTGCAGCTGGCGCGGACCACCACCGGAGCCACTCCTCTGGGCAGAGCCACGACCAGCTCCACCGCTGCCGCCGCCGCCGCCGCCACCTCCGCCGCCTCCGCTCCCACCGCCACCGCCGCCGCCTCCACCGCCTCCACTGGTGCCACCGACACCTCCACCCCCGCCACCACTCCCACCACCACCCCCACCCCCTCCACTGCCTCCACCGCCACCTCTTCCGCCCCCGCCATCCCCTCCAGCGCCCTTGCCCCCCTTGCCCTTGCCGGTGCGGCGTCTCCCACTAGGGGCAGACGCAGCTCAGACCGACTCGAAACCAACGAGGTCGGCCGCACTAGCAGAAGCAACAGAGGGCAAGAGGGGGGAGGGGGAACACCCCTCAAAGACGGGGTTACGAGGGTCACCACGAGAGGCTCCTACAACGACTATGCTCTTCTCTGCTGCCAGGAGGCGCTGCTCGAGGAGGTCAACGGTAAGTGTGGTGGGGCAAACTGAGAGGAGGTGGTCCCTGACTAAGTGAAGGGAGTGAGGGAGCCGGGTGACTAAGTAGTAGAGGGTTATATACATGGGGGGAGGGTTCTTGGCACAGAACTCAGCACGAAGCGCAGCGCGGTAGCGGGTGTCACTAGTGCGAAGGTGCGTAATGAGGTCAGCGAGTGTGGGAAAGGCAGCAAGGTCAGGGAACAGGTACGGCAGCATGAGGCGGCTAAGGGCAGCAGTGGCAAGGGAAGAGTAGCGTGCAACTACAGCGTCGTACAAGGTCCTAGCACTCTTGTACTGACAAAAGTGTGCACACTGAGCGGTCGGTAAGTGGCGACGCACAGCAAGACGGGCAGCAGCATCGCGTGTCGCCCACTGTGAGCGAACAGTGCTGTCAGCATCAGCAGGCAAGGCAGGAGAGGCACCAGAGGTGAGATCGAACAGGGAGAGTCCGTCTGCCCTATCGCACTGTAGTAAGAGCTGTAGGTCATCGACCCAGACCTCGAAGTCAACAGCACGACCCTCAGCATCAAAGGTAAGGACACTTGGGGTAGCCATGACAGCAGTGGTTTAGCAGGGAGTGCTCTAACCAGTCCGGGTGGGTAGGGCCGTGGCGCGCCGGTAGGAACAGGGCTGCAACCGCGGTGGAAGCGGCTCGGCAGTGGCTCGGCGGCAGCGGCTCGGTAGTGGCGGCTCGACGGCGGCCTCGTCGGCTCGGCTGCTTGGCGGCTCGGCGGCTCGGTGGTTCGGCGGCTCGGCGGCTCGGCTGCTCGGCGGCTCGGCGGCTCGGCTGCTCGGCGGCTCGGCGGTGCGGCTGCGTGGCTGCTCGGCGGCCCGGCGGTGAAGGGGCCGGAAGGGGCGGCGACGGGGCCGCAAGGGGCGGCGACGGGGCCGCACAAGGGGCCGCGAGGGGCCTCGAAGGGCCGCACCTGACTGGTACGTCAGCCCCTCATTCCACGTCAGCCTACTTCGCCCTTACGTCCCGTCCACGAGCCAACTGCCACGCAATCGCCCAGCCAGCATGACAAGACCACCAACTGAACCAATCATCACCCCCGAGAAAATCCTGAGTCACAGAGTTCACGACCCTCGAGGAGCCCGAAGGATCGAGTTCTTACTCCGCTGGAAGGACCGTACACCCACCGAAGACAATTGGGTTCCCCTGGACAGAATCAAAAACCACCCCGTCCTCACCGAGTATCTGCGCAGCCGAAATTTCAGGGATGTACACGCACTTTCGTAAGGAGGACCTCCTTAGGGGGGGGGGTAGTGTAAGGAAAATTCCTTTTCCTTACTTCGCATCCCTGCTCAACGCGTACATCACTGTAGCACCACAGTCAGCACCGTTACCACTCGCAACCCTCGCATCGACAATCCGCCCGCCACCTTCGCATATCGCACCCCGACCTCACGGCTCGGCGGGTAACCCGCACTCCGGGCCTCCGCTTCGACACTTTTTCCCAACCTCAGTCCCAGGCCTGTCGTGCGACAACCACGGTCCATTACCGTTACCAATGTAGTTTCGCAGTATATTCTTCGCTCATGCCTTCGCTCATTGTACTCATGCTTCGATAATGCAATTCTCGTTCGTTCACTCAATTGCACTCGTAACAATCTCATATAAATAATATCCGGTGGTAAATCACAGAAACAACCTAGTTATCCAAAAGAAATAACTATCGCTTTAATATAATTGAACTAGACAGGAGGACCTCCTACACTTACGTAGGTAGCGATTAGTGCACCCAGCTTTTTTTTCCACATTTTATTTTAAATAAATGTAAAATGTGAAAAAAAAACATGCCAAATCGATCGTACGGTAATAGGTTGCTTCGCAACCCAAAAAACATTTTGCCGTACACCCACTTGAAAGAACTTGTTACCCAATTACACTTGGTAACCATTCCAAAAATACTTAGAAGCAGACGGACATTCGGTTTGCATCTCAATTCTGCCTAACACATTCGTGAGTGTCAGGTTTGTGCACACACAAATCCATGCGTCTATGAATCATACACAAGCATCCCCGATAAAAGCCCCTGCCACCAGAGCGCAGACGCTTTGGGTGTTCTTTTCAACCCACGGGTGCGGTCCACATGCACGAGGCCAAAGCGGCGCGAGTACCCCATCTGCCACTCGAAGTTGTCCATCCACGACCATGCCATGTACCCCCGCACATCCGCCCCTTGCCTGCAATGCGTGCGTGGAAGGAGAGGGGTGCCATGTTGGGGGATGAATGCATGTCAGCATGCGCCTGGTGACGTCAGCATGCGTTGATGATGTCAGCTTGTGTCTGATGATGTCAGCTTGTGTCTGACGACGCCGGCATAAGTGGGATGCAGTGAGGACACAGCAATGATGTCAGGATGCATGGGGAGGTTTGAGAAGCGATGCCATGGCAACTGATGCCATGACATGGCAGCGAGCACCTCAAAAGCCAACTACATGAGCGAGCACCTCAAAAGCCAACTACATGAGCGAGCACCTCAAAAGTCAACTACATGAGCGAGCACCTCAAAAGTCAACTACATGAGCGAGCAAGAGAGTCTCAACTTGCTGTTTCTCAGCCTTTCCCTCACATGGACAGTGGAACCTCAATACACTTCCCCACTTCCTCCCTTCATGCAATGCCTGTGGTAGCTATTTCTGATTTGGAAATAAAGCATCAACTTACCATTGGCTTGCCAAGTGCCCAGCTGTCATAACTACGTGACTCTCGCCACCATAGCTGCACTGCATGTGTCCTTGATGAATCATGCTCACTCCCACACTTGAGACGTCACAAACTCCGACACATGTGGCGGCAGTGGCGGACAGCCATGGGGCAGCAAGATGCATGAGACCGAAAAACAGGTGCCACGGCTGTGGCTACGCCAGTAGGACTCGCCTGATTGTGCTGAGGAGGCGCAAAAGGCACGCATGCTAGGGGCAGATGCGGTACGGTACCATCACGTGTGAACACCAGTCTGACTCGTGTGGTGAGAGAGAAGGCGCTCATGTCTCACCTGATGGCGCTGAGAAGGTACGAGAGGCACTTGATGGCACGCGAGGCCTCGTGAATCGCTCATGGCAATGTGCACAGCGGAGGGGGGCCAGGGACGATAACGCAAGTCAAATGTACCCGATGGCGCTCAGGAGGTGAGAAAGGGACGCGTGGTAGTAGAGATGCTTGTGACAGTGTGTAGCGCGGGAGGGGGGGCTGTGAATTATACGCTTGGTAGTGTGCAAGTCAAACGTACCTCATGGTCCGGAGGAGGGCTTCGGGTTTTACGCGTGGTAGAAGCGGATACGATGCAGGTCACTGGTGGCCAGCGTGCAGGGCGGAGGAGAGACAGTGACTACACCAAAACCGCTTGCTAACCGCAGCCCGACTCACCTTATTGCGCGGAGAAGATGCGAGAGGTACGCGTGGTAGTAGCGGATGCGGTGCGGGTCACTGGTGGCCACGTGCAGCGGCAGCGATGGGTCGTCCCCTTCATCTAGACCTGCAGGGATGTGTGAAGGTGTCGCGGTGTGAAGGAGGGTGGGGATAGGTTGAAGGACGGAAGGGAGGAGTGGAAAGGTGTGAGCCAGAGAGGGTTGGATTGTGTGGCTCACACTCACTCATTATCCTCATTGGGCCTTGCAGATGGGGGGATGAGGGCTCAAGCGAGACATGAAAAAATATCATTCTGAGGTGACAGGGGACCTCAGTGGCGGTGGTGTGAGGCAAATGAAGGGAGTTATGTGCAGGCTGGTGGTTGAGCGATGAAGCAGAGAGAAGCGACAAGGATGGGACAAGACGGAACAAGATCCACACAGCAAGGCGACCTTCGGCGCCTCCCTAATCCTTAAAAAGGAGAATTTGGTGAACATGCACGGCAATTGCGATGGAATTAACACTGCACGCACATTATGTGCCCCCAGGCCCCTCCATTACCATTCTCTGTGATGTAGATGGGTGGTGCCCCGTATGTGGTGGTGATGTGCATGAGCAGCTTCTGGAAGCCCCACGGCACCTCGTACAGCCATGGGGACGCCGCCTGGTGTGATGTAAGTTGGGAGGCGTGCATGGTGAGAGGGAAGGGGGAAGAAAGGGGGTGAGCAGGTTGTGAAGTGCTCTCAGCACCTCAACTCGTACGGCCATGGCGATGCAGACTGCAGGTGATAGGTTGGCGCGCGTGCATCGGGGTAGAGGGGGGAACAGGTGGGTGCACATGGCGTGAAGCCATGTGTAGCTGGTGAAGCGCGTTCAGGAAGGAAAGCAGCGGAGAGATGGGACACGGGTGCAGGATGGGAGGTGTGGGCGGAACTGAGCGATCGACATCGGCATGAGAACACATTGGTGGAGAGCAGGGTGCATTTATGAGGGTCTAGGGTTAAAGGTTGATGGCAGAGCTGATCCAAGTAAAAGGGAGGCGAGAAACAACGTGCCTTTTCAACAGAATTCAGGGGCTTTAAGAATGAGGAGCCGGGAGGAGACGGAGGAGAGGAGGAGAGGAGAGGAGAGGAGAGGAGAGGAGATGAGAGATGAGGAGAGGAGGGGAGGGGAGAGGAGAGGGGAGGGGAGGGGAGGAGAGGTCAGGAGAGGAGAGGGGGGGGTAGGTAGGGGAGGGGAGGGGAGGGGAGGGGAGGGGAGGAGAGGGGAGGGGAGGGGAGGGGAGGAGGGGAGGCGAGGGGAGGCGAGGGAATGAGGGTAGGGGAGGGGAGAGGAGAGGGGAGGAGAGGAGAGGAGAGGGGAGGAGAGGAGAGGAGAACAGAGCAGAGGAGAGCAGAGCAGAGGGGTTTGAGTCACCTGCTGGCCAATCAGGCGGCCATCACGTTCAACTGCCATGTGATTGATTGGAGTGCCACGTGTGGAAGAATGCAGAGTAGAGGAACGGCATGGAGGAGCATCACGTGGACATGCCATGAGTTGTACGATGCATGCATGCATGGAAGGGGAACACGCACACAGGCAGAGAAACGTGTGCGAAAGGTGGTGATGGCATGTGGGAGCATCACGTAGACATGCCATGAGTTGTGTGATGCATGCATGCATGGAAGGGGAGCGCATGCACAGGTAGAGACAGAGAGACACGAGAGCGCAGCACAATAGAAGATTAAGGAGAAAATGGAGGATGAACAATGCAAAGGAAAAAGGAAGGCAATGAGAGTACGGGGAGAACAGACACAAAGAAGCAACACAGAGTGATGCTCACACCATGAACAGTAACATGCTGATCATCAAAGTAGCTCCACAGCCTGCCTTTCTCGCCCCCCTCTCGCGCATCTGCATGTGCAATGTATCTGGACGTGTAGTGGTTGAGCCCCACAAAGTCCACACTGCCTTTAAGCGAGGCAGCTTGTAAGGGGGAGAAGGAGGGCAGGCGGGGGCCCATGTAGTGGCGCATGGCGGGTGGATAGGCGCCAAAGAATATGGGGTGCAGCAGCCTGAGGGCGCGGAAGATTGCGGAGAGAGGACAGGGGAACGGGGAATGGGGAAATGGAGGAATGGCGAAGGAGGGATGGGGAAAGGAGGGTTGTGAGAGATGGTGATGAGCAGCCTGGCTGAACAATCAGTCATGCACGCACTTTCCGAGCACATTGAAACACGGAACACATTTTGAGACACCCTCGAACATTAGTCATGCAGGCAAGCAAGCAATGGTACGCAAGCTGTCTGAAAGGAAGCATATTCGCAGGAGGGTGGAAAAAAGACAAGCGCAGCCACCCACCATCCGAGGTTGAACTGCATGCGCCTATCAGCAGCTGCCACGTCATCTGGGTGCTGAGAGAAAGGCTCCGCCCATTCGCTGTCCACCGCAATGCCGATTTGCCCCCCCTGCTGTGGCTGGTGGGAGAGAGATAAAGTATGGAGGGGGAAAAGACGCAATTTGAGAGCCACAAAACAAACCTGAACAATTTGGTGACTTTAAAGTCAACTAATAACTGGTGGACGATGGGGCGTTGGAAGCAGTGGAGAAGGACGAATTGGAGGAGGGAGCAAGGGACAGTGGGAGAGGGGTGGCTGGGTGAGGGGACAAGAGGGAATGGAGGGATTGGTCAAATGGGAGACAAGCAACAAACAGATTCTTCCAGTGCTTTAGGTATAGGGCTTCGCCACTAGAGGTTAAATCGGGAGGGCAAATAGGCATCATTAGGTGTGTGACTCACCCATCGCCACAACATCTTCTTGTCGAGCACCCGATCAGCAGCAGCCCCTTACCCACCCCACCAGTTTAGAGAGTCGTTCCTGCTAACTTCCGCAGCAGCAATCGACCCACTAAGTCCCTCCTGTATCACTCCACAGCAGCAACGTGTGATGCAGAGTAAGGCTCCACCGCCCCACGAACCTCCCTTTAACAGCAGCAGCAGCAGCACCCGACACACCTGCCTGAATACTCCCTCGTCATCCCACCTACCAGTCAGCAGCAGCAGCAGCGGCGACGGCGGCGGCGGTGGCGGCGGCGGCGGCGGCAGCAGCAGCAGCGTGTGATGCACCACCGCATACGGCTCCACTGCTCCATCGCCCTCTCTACCAGCAGCAACCGGCACACATACTTGAATTGAACCTTTATCTCTCCTGTAGCATTTAGCAGCAGCAGCAGCAGCATCCCCCGACCTACGCACCCACCTGGAACTCGCTCCTACAGCAATCAGCAGAAGCACGCGCCAGCAGCATGTGATGCAGCACCACATACATACGGCTCCACCGCCCCATCGCCATCCCTACCAGCACCAGCAGTCTCAGACCTACTTGTCTGAAGCTCTCTCCGGTACCAGTCAGCACCAGAAGCCTTCGACCCGCCAAACAGTAGCTATCGGCAGCAGTAGCAGCAGACACTAGTTCATACCTCGAATTCCCTCCTATAACAGTCCACAGCAGCAGCGTGAGCCAGCAGCATGTGGTGCACCACCACATACGGCTCCACCGCCCCATCGCCCTCCGCACAGCACTGCCGGTCGGAGCAGCGCCCGGGCGCAAAGTCCCCCACGGCGTAGCCCTTGAGGGCAAAGGTGTAGGGCTCGTTGAAGGTGAGCCAGTAGGGCACTCTGTCGCCCAAGAGAGAGAAGCAGAGCCGTGCATATTCCCTGAATGCACCACTGGAGGCGGGGAGCGGAGAGGCAGGGACAAAAGTTGAGTGCAAAGTTACCCAAGGCGTAGCCCTTGGTGGCGAAGGTGTAGGGCTCGTTGAAGGTTAGCCAGTGAGAGACCCTGTCTCCGAACAGGGAGAAGCAGAGTGAGGCGTACTCCCAGAACGCACCACTGGAAGGAGGAAGGGAGGGGAGGGGAGGGGGCAACAGTTGTGAGCAAAGTTTGCCACGGCATAGCCCTTGGTGGCAAAGGTGTAGGGCTCGTTGAAGGTGAGCCAGTAGGGCACTCTGTCGCCCAAGAGAGAGAAGCAGAGGTGCGCGTAGTCCTGAAATGCACCACTGGAAGGGGAGAAGAGGAGGGGGTAACAGTTGAGCACAAATCGCAAAGGGAGAGGCCAGGGTGTGGGTGAGGGAGAAGAGGGGACAGGTGGGCGCAAAGTCCCCCACTGCCTAGCCCTTGGTGGCGAAGGTGCAGAGATTGTTCAGAGCCACAGGGAGGCGCAACTGCTAAAGTGGGAGACATAATGCTGAGACATAATTCCCTAAGTGCGGGGCTGGGGGGTGGTAAGGCAGGGCCAACAGTTGGGCAACAGTTGGTGAGGGAAGGAGGAGGATAGGAGGAGATATGATCCAACAATCACCACATGCACACTCACATGCACACTCACATGCACACTCACATGCACACTCACATGCACACTCACATGCACACTCACATGCACACACTCACATGCACACTCACATGCACACTCACATGCACACTCACATGCACACTCACATGCACACTCACATGCACACTCACATGCACTCACATGCACACACTCACATGCACACTCACATGCACACACTCACATGCACACACTCACATGCACACACTCACACGCATGCACACTCGCATGCACACTCGCATGCACACTCGCATGCACACTCGCATGCACACTCACGGTGACTCACACGATGGCCTCGCCTCTGAATCCGCCAAACTCCTCCTCCAGTGCCTGCGGCAGGTCCCAGTGGAAGAGCGTCACACACGGCGTGATGCCTGCGCACGGGGGAAAAGGGGGTGGGTGGGGTGGGAGTTACAATGAGAGAGTCACACTTGGCTCACAAGGGGGATGGACGTGGGGATGGGGCGTGGGGATGGGAGGTGGGAATGGGGGATGTGATGCCTCCACAAGGGGGAATGGGGGGAAAGGGTGGGAGATACAAAGAGGGAGGAGGATGGAGGCAGCAGAAGCATCAAGGAGAGTGCTCAAGTGACATTCTTGTTGACTAAAACAAGCACCTGCAGCCACGCTACTGCACCTTCTCATAGAACCAACCCCACCTTCTCTGTATTGAGAGGTCAGTAGTGATTCACTCCCTCATGGCTCATGGTAATTATGATGCTTTGCTAACCCAATCACCTCTCTGCTGACGTGCTGAGCTTCAGATACGAAGGACGAAGAGAAGGAGAGATGCAGAGCTGTGCAAGATAGTGCAATGAGGTGAAGAGCGGTCGAAATAGGTGGCTGACCATTACGGAGCAAGCAGTCAATGAGGCGGTTGTAATACTCCACGCCCTCCTGGTTCACTGGCTGCCGCCCCGCTGTGAGCCCATTAAAAAAAAAAATAGAGAGAAACAGAATGGAAGGGTATAGGCAGGGTATAGGCAGGAGAAGTGCAGCTGGTTGTAATAACTGACTTAACCGAACACCTTGTGTTGTTTGCAAAGATCAGAGACTCGTGAAAGCGGGTATGAAGCGGAGGCTTAGATGCTCACGGTCTTGCAGCTAGAGAAAGACAACAGCACGCACGGGAACGAGATGCTTCCTGGAGTGTGCAAGACATGCTCTCCGACAGGACAATTTTTCATCCGCCTCGCACGGAGTGTGCTGTGGAGTGCACAAGGCGAGGAAAGCAGACGCACACGGGAGGATGCGCGACCAGCTGATGGAGAAGCGGTAGGCTGAGAAGCCCAAATGCCTCATCAGTGCCACGTCCTCCTGCATGCTCGAGGGCAGGCAGGGAAAGGAGGGGATGGATGTGGAGCGTGGAGCACACGGGGCAATGGAGGGGGGCATACAAGGGAGGTGCGGCTACCTGATGGTAGGCTTAAGTGCCTCATTAGCCCCACATCCTCCTGCACGCCGTGTTACAGTGAGGTTTGAGGTCTGCGCGGTGACTGGCTGGCCATGCCCAGTAGTGAACACGCCTTGGGGACTGGTGCTTGGAACATGCAGCAGGGAGATACAGCGGTGCAGGAGGGTGCTGGTGGGGTGGAGCTGATTGGGTGGAGGTGGGGGGGCATGGCACGCACCTCGTATCGGTGGTATTGATCGCACGCCACGTCACCTGTGTCCCCGTTGTGTGTCCTTCCTGTACCACACAGAGTTGGCAGCACACCGGTTTGGAGCAAACAAGCATTAAATGGGATGAGTGTGTACTCACACATGCCCGAACATGCTCACATATGCTCGAACATGCTCACATATGCTCGAACATGCTCACATATCCTCGAACATGCTCACACATGCTCACTCAAAGCCCACTCATACACGCGCGATCAGGCTAATGTAAGTACACATGCCCATTGGACCTCTGTGCCATTAGTGCATCTTTTGTCTTAGTGTGTGCCGTACTGTTCGTGCACACTTGCAAGAGTCTGCTGCATTGCAACATGTACAGCACCTGACCCGCTACCGCACCTGACCTGCTACCGCACCTGACCTGCTACCGCACCTGACCTGCTACCGCACCTGCCCTGCTACCGCACCTGACCTGCTACCGCACCTGCCCTGCTACCGCACCTGCCCTGCTACCGCACCTGACCTGACCTGCTACCGCACCTGACCTGCTACCGCACCTGACCTGCTACCGCACCTGACCTGCTACCGCACCTGCCCTGCTACCGCACCTGACCTGCTACCGCACCTGCCCTGCTACCGCACCTGACCTGCTACCGCACCTGACCTGCTACCGCACCTGACCTGCTACCGCACCTGACCTGCTACCGCACCTGACCTGCTACCGCACCTGCCCTGCTACCGCACCTGACCTGCTACCGCACCTGACCTGCTACCGCACCTGACCTGCTACCGCACCTGCCCTGCTACCGCACCTGACCTGCTACTGCACCTGACCTGCTACCGCACCTGCCCTGCTACCGCACCTGACCTGCTACCGCACCTGCCCCGCTACCGCACCTGACCTGCTACCGCACCTGCCCTGCTACCGCACCTGACCTGATACCGCACCTGCCCTGCTACCGCACCTGCCCTGCTACCACACCTGACCTGCTACCGCACCTGCTACCGCACCTGGCCTGCTACCGCACCTGACCTGCTACCGCACCTGACCTGCTACCGCACCTGCCCTGCTACCGCACCTGACCTGCTACCGCACCTGACCTGCTACCGCACCTGACCTGCTACCGCACCTGACCTGCTACCGCACCTGCCCTGCTACCGCACCTGACCTGCTACCGCACCTGACCTGCTACCGCACCTGCTCTGCTACCGCACCTGCCCTGCTACCGCACCTGACCTGCTACCGCACCTGCCCTGCTACCGCACCTGCCCTGCTACCGCACCTGACCGGCTACCGCACCTGCCCTGCTACCGCACCTGACCTGCTACCGCACCTGCCCTGCTACCGCACCTGACCTGCTACCGCACCTGACCTGCTACCGCACCTGACCTGCTTCCGCACCTGACCTGCTACCGCACCTGCCCTGCTACCGCACCTGACCTGCTACCGCACCTGACCTGCTACCGCACCTGACCTGCTACCGCACCTGACCTGCTACCGCACCTGACCTGCTACCGCACCTGACCTGCTACCGCACCTGACCTGCTACCGCACCTGCCCTGCTACCGCACCTGACCTGCTACCGCACCTGACCTGCTACCGCACCTGCCCTGCTACCGCACCTGACCTGCTACCGCACCTGACCTGCTACTGCACCTGCCCTGCTACCGCACCTGCCCTGCTACTGCACCTGACCTGCTACCACACCTGCCCTGCTACCGCACCTGCCCTGCTACCGCACCTGACCGGCTACCGCACCTGCCCTGCTACCGCACCTGACCTGCTACCGCACCTGCCCTGCTACCGCACCTGACCTGCTACCGCACCTGACCTGCTACCGCACCTGACCTGCTTCCGCACCTGACCTGCTACCGCACCTGCCCTGCTACCGCACCTGACCTGCTACCGCACCTGACCTGCTACCGCACCTGACCTGCTACCGCACCTGACCTGCTACCGCACCTGACCTGCTACCGCACCTACCCTGCTACCGCACCTGACCTGCTACTGCACCTGACCTGCTACTGCACCTGCCCTGCTACCGCACCTGCCCTGCTACCGCACCTGCCCTGCTACCGCACCTGCCCTGCTACCGCACCTGCCCTGCTACCGCACCTGCCCTGCTACCGCACCTGGCGTGTGGGCGAACACGTCCCAGATGCTGGCTCCTCGCCCTCCTTCCCGCGCTGCCCCCTCCACCTGCGCACCCAGGGGAAGATGGGGGAGAAGGCGCGCAGCTAAGCATAAGGTGTGGTGGGCACAGGGACGTTCCTGTCATGCGTGCACTCACCTCACAGCCCCATGCGACCAAGTGTCATCGACTTGCCAGAACCTGCCCCCTCCCATGCAAGCAGCCAGAGGAGCATGCGTGTGTTTATGGTCTAGGGTAACCAGCCGTGGGCCCAGCAAATTACCAACACGTCTGGCCTCATGCCCTTCCGCCATCCCTCCTTCCCTCTCCTTCCCCCACTACTCCACCGTTGCCTGCGCTCCCTCCTCTCCCCCCTCATGCTTCCCCCTGACCCCCGCACCTGGTAGGCGGCAGTGGCGGTGCCAAACAGGAACCCGGGCGGAAACATGTCTCTCCGCAGCGCTCCCCGCGCGCCCTCCTCCGCATCCCCGCGCGGGTCCTTCTCCGCATTCCCCACAAGTCTCTCCGCCCGCGCGTCCTCCGCGCGGATTGGCAGCGCTTTCCCCCGCGCGACGGAACTTGTTACAAGCGCGTCCGCGAAGAGCCAGTGGCGACAGCTGATACTAGTCGCGCTAAACTTTAGGCGGCGTGAATTCCGGGGCGCGCTGAGGAATATCACGCGGCCGTTTCGAGGAACGTCAGAGCGGGATCGCACCGTCCAACTCCTTGAACCCGAGAGCGAGACGAGTCGCAAATCTCGCCGCGGAACACGGCGCGTATCATGGCGCGAAGGAGTGGAGGGGAGAGCGAGCGGAAGCGCGGTATGGCGGGGAAAGGCGGTAGGCGGGGAGGCGGCGGCGCGAACGGCGGCAGAACATGGCTGGTTGTTGAGTCGCGTTATCGTGTGATTCGGTGCACTGGTACAAGCCGCCACGGTATAAGCACTGAAAGCCATGAGTTCCACTCGTCACTGCCGAATTCACCCCATTTTACCCTGAAGTTGGGTTGTGAGAGCTCTGGTATGATGGGGCGAGCATTGTTTGCCAAAATTGAGAAACCAATCTTCCGAGAGAATTTCTCCAGACCCGGAAACGGTGATTTGCCGTTGCACACGTGGCCTCGAATTGCTACCGTGGTCGGACAATTCGATGATAATTGCTCGAGTGGTCTTGCCAGAGGTTTCCTCGTCTTGCCAGAGGTTTCCTCTGGCTTTTTTTTTTATCCGGCACATTACCCAAAACCGGTTTTTAGCCCTGCTTTTCTTACGTCGTTCGTGTCTCTTCCTGCAAAAACGTGGCGTGTGATTTTCCGCCCGAAAATTTTCGGCTGGGTGACGTGCGCGAGGGCGGCCACGTCACCGTTCGAATACACGACAATAATCAACACGATCATCTTGGGCGAACATTCGCGCTCATTTTCGGTCCAATTCTTGACCAATCCGCGCATAGAGATATGAATCCCCGATCATATACTCAGTTGGACGACTGTCCACACGCGCGACCAATTACAGAGCGCGTCTGATTGGTCGACTTTATGCGCATAGTACTTTTTTACCTTGCGCGTCCAATCAGGCGCGGTCATGTAAGATCGCGCTCATATAAAACCGCGCATTTACCTATATGAGCGCGCATATGTGGTGCTCGAATGTGTGTGCGATCTGTTTTATTAATATAAAACTATATTAATAAAATCGAGAGACGTTCACTACCGGCGTTTTGCCTATGTATCTATATAACACTGTGCGTTCCGTTCATTTAGCAGTCATAGGGTTTATTGTATCTCTAGGCATGTCGACCTCTACGCATGCCTACAATGATATTACGTAGATTTGATGTGTACTGAGCACGCAATGTCATTGTTGACCATTCGTCTCATCAGTTATTGTGCAGAAAGGCATCGATGATGTCGTCCGCCGCCCCTGCACAGGTTCAGCAAACAAGTTCATTAGATTAATGCATGGTTTAGTGAAACTACAGCATATGAATAAGCACTAATATGACACAACCACACATCTCACCTGTTGCTGGCTCGCTTGCCAGTGCGGAGCCGTGGGACGTTGGGTTGGGATTGTTGGGAGAAGTCGACTGTGAATATGTCAGGCCATCTACCCTGACCTCTCCAGTTTGCTCAGCGGGCCGGACTTGTTGGGCTTGTGGGTCAGATACTGGATGTGCCGTGCTGGGTGCAACGGATGGTGGTGTTGGTAGGACATGCGGATGGGGTGCTGTGTTCTGTGAAGCGGCATGGCCTGCAGGGTTGGGAGCAATGGGTACTGAAGGGGTAGGGTGTACGGCGATAGGGGCTTGCACCTGCCTGAATGGATGGTTTGGGATTTGGTTGAAAGCAAACTGCTGGGATGGAAAATGGAGGTTGGGAGGAGGGTGGCTCTGATTGTACGGCTGCCATGCACCAGGGTTTAGGGTTGCACCGGCGTGTCCCGCGAAGGCGGCGGCTAGCGGGTGGTAGTTGCCAAACGTGGCTCCAGGGTGCTGGTGGGAAAAGGGAGGTGGAGCCAGTGTGTGTACTCCTACTGGCGTTGGGATGGAAGGCTCAGGGAGGCTGCCGAGCACTTCTCGCCAGTTCTTCCACTCTGCCCACCGCGTGGCCTCCACTATCCTTGCAACCCCATGCGTCGTCAGTCCCTCCAAGCATGGCCTCTCCTCCACGCTCAACTCCACCATCGTTGAGCTGGAGAGGGACGGTCGGCAAATGTGGGCGGCTGCGGCATATGCTTTTGCGGCATCTAAGATCTCCGTATACCGTCCAAGCACTAAAAACTTACTCTTTGCGCTATCTACGCACAGTCGTGCCGCCCACCTACCTTCCCGTTTGGTTACGCCAGTATAACCAGAGCTAGGAGCTCGACCACGCGCAGTGTTGCGACTCGTTGTCTCAGTCCCTGTGCTGTGGGCGGACACCAAATCCACATCCGCGTTCGAGGCTGTCACACCATGCCCAGCACCCACGGCCTCTCTTGCACCTCTGTTACCATCCGTAGTACCCAACAAGCCTTTGGCACCTTCATCACGCACCCCCACTTCCTCATTGTCCCTCCTCGCACCGTCCGCCATATCACCATCTCCATCTTTTTCAAGCTTACTGTTATTCCCACCTACACCCGTCTCAACGTCAGCCACAGGACCCTCGCCATGTGCACCTCTCATGCTGTCATGTGTGCCAGCGTTGTTCCCTCCCACATCCCCATGTCCCTCCCCTACAGCATCCCCTCCCGCATCCCCATGTCCCTCCCCTGTAGCGTCCCCTCCCACATCAACATGTCCCTCTCCTGCAGCGTCCCCTCCCACATCACCATCTCCCTCCCCTGTATCGACACCGCCAATGCCCGGCTGTGGAGTACGGGACAGCATCAGCTCACGCAGTTGCCTCTCGAGCTTGGCAATAGCCACTGCCTGACTCTCATTGCGAACCTCCAGCCTATGCATCCGCTCTGCCATCTCCGCCCTCCACTCCCTATCCTCCACCTCATCACCAATCACCTCAAGCTCAGGTGGTTTCCTAATCTCATTGCCAGGAGGGATCTCATGCCCAGCTGCCGTGAGCTCGCCGATCAGCCGTCCTTCTGCCAGGGCGCACACATCCTCCCGTATGACACGCCGGTATGCCAGTGGGCTCATGCTGAACCGCAACCCATGCTCAGCACCTTCGAAACATGCCTCCACTAGCGCTTGAATGTACTGGCATACGAAGATGCCGCAGTCATATTCATTCTGCTGCAGAGGCATTTGCCACGCCTGCAAAACACCAATGCCACATGCAGCGTAAATGAGAACAATAGAGTACACGATCATCATTTGACAAGGGGTGGAATGTAGAATCATTTGACAACGGGAGTTTGTAGCATGGTTGACGAGCTTAATTCTAGTCAACTCACCTCCATGACGTGTGGCTTGAAGCGCCCAAGCCTCGCCTTCATCTCTTCTATCGTGCGGTTGCCATGCTCCTTCTCGAAGGCCATGCCAAGCAAGCTGTCTCCCGGTCGAATTTATGATGCAAAAAAGGCGGATTAGCGTGTGGTTTAGTGAGACATAAGCTAGCAGAGTTAGGTTGGAGTGCTTGTGTGGGAATGGTCGTACGCGAACCCTAACAAAAGCTTACTTGGTCATGTTCATGAAAGCATTGCCCCCCACAGCATGCATCCCGAAAGAGTCGTACAGCAGCAACCACGCAGGCTCTGTGGTGCTGTCCTCGTCGAGCGGGAGAGCCACAACTCCAGGGTTGACGACAATCATCACACTGAAATGAAACCTGCATCGTTCGTTAATCCACAATATTTGTCACTGCTTAGGCATTACAACAGCAGAAGACATTAGAGTGTTGGAGAGACTAGCGAATCGTGATACTGCAACTTACCCGCCATAGATTGGCATGGCTAGATAGTCGTAGCTGAAGATCGACGGTCCCGTGACACCTTTGGCTAACTTGCCTTGAGAGCAGAAGTAGTCGTAACTCTGACTGTCCAACGCGAGCCACGTCTTGCCGTTGCTCAACTTGGGCCAGCGGATGTTCAGCACTCTGCGTTTAGACAGCCATTAAATAGGTCAAAAGCAAGAGGGAGTCGTTTGCGTTAGAATCAGAAGACACGGGTATGGCAACAAGACCGGCCATCGTGATAATGGCCCCACAACTCCAGCAACTGATACAGCATGTCCGCGGTATGACACTCACATGTTATGAAAATCTATCAAAGGCTGCGTGATCGGCTGTTTGTCGGTGATGTGCAGAGCGTCGGCCAACGAAATAATTGCCGTCATTCCGTGATGATCACGAATCGCATTGGTGGGAAATAATGGATGCTTTAACTTGGCCGCAGTAGCTCTAGTCTCCTCATGAGTATCTAGAAACGGGATTTTAACATCTGCCGTGATTTTTGCGATAAGGTCGTCCGGCGGAGAGTGTACCAACGGTGAGTCAAACGGGGGCTCCACGCCGTAATCGTGAGGGGCTACCTTATTCAATACCACCGGCTCAAGAGTCGTGGCGCAATGCTCTTTGGTAGACGAATCGTGTGCATGCGCCAACTTCAGCCTATCGCTTCGACGACGCCCGTCATCCTCGCCAGACTCTACGTCGGGTTGTGACGCATTTTCCCGTTTCCGCGAGAGTTTCCGCGCCGGTGTGTCATCACGGGTGTTTTTCGCGGCCTTCCTACCTCGAGCGGCGCGACCTGACATAGTAACGATATGCAACGCGCCGTCCGCAGCTGTGATATGTAATTACGAGGTGATGCTAGGTAGAGCTGTCCCGGACTAAGACCTAGGAGCTATAGTAGCGTTACTACAACGCGAACCCTAATTTTGTGTGCTGTGTGACTCAGAGATAGGAACACGATCGGCTTGAAATTGATCGGGTGAAACACGCCGTGGTTCAGGTTAGCTAAATGGATGCGGATCATTTCTGTAGCTCGCGTACGAATCGATGGTAACTCGATTTCGTGAGCGATATTAATTAGTACGAATGTGTTATTTTCAACTCGCGAAAACAACATGAGGCACGAAACTCATGGTTGCGCTGTTACGTGCGAGCCCAAATGTCAGACTATCGGACCCCGGCACAGAGTGAACACGCATCTCTTCAGAAGTCCATACGAGGGTTGGATTGCCAACCATTTCCGACAGTATCTTCGACCAATGAAATCCACCCAGTAATTGATCGGGCAATTACACGTGCAATTCGACCAGTGCAATGCGCGTTCCTGCATGACCGGTCTTATGCACGCCTTATATGGCCGGTCATAAAGCGCCATACGCTATTTAAAAAGGCGCGTCAGCGCGCCTTAAAAGGCCTGATAACGATACATAATTCTGTATGTACAATACTTGTAACTCAAATAAATTGCAATTGATTTAGCACAACGACAATGTTTTAGAAACATACAACATTAGTTTCCAAATGCGCGACATCCACGCAATGTGTGTGAAAATGACAAAACAATGAGTGGTTGAACTAGCAAGGAGATGGGTACACGTAGGAAACTCCCGGTCGAACGGCAGGTCGACGGGATGCTCTAGAGACCTCCCGGTCGAGCTGTAGGTCCTGGTCGACATCCCACCCGTCGCCCAGACCAGTCAGTTGCAGCTGTCGAGCTCCCTGGTCGACAGCAACACCACAGCGGTCCCCTACAGCTCGACGAAGCCTGTCGAGCAGCTCTCCACTGTTAACGGTCGGTTGCTACTCCCGTACATCCGACCAAGTCGCCGGCGTTGCCCAAGCGAGGGCGGGGCCAACACTCCATTCCTGTTAACATGGATATGTGTCAGAGCATTATAGCTTATGCTTTTGTGTAGGCTGTAGTGGGGTAGCCTATATGGGGTACAACCCAATTAGGGTTAGTACTTGTACCCAACTCTTTCATAGTCCATTCATTATCGTTCATTCTCACAATATGGCCAAAAATGGAAGTGTGGATACGTGAATGGTATCGTCATATGATATATTTTTACCTGAGGGTTGTTACATGGGGTATAACACTATGGGTTAGGTTTACGCACCCCAACCAACCTTAGTCGAACCACCATTCCGTTCTTGACAGTATTGTATCTAAAGGATTTAATATTACCTATGAGTGTGTTACATGGGCTGTCCCGGGTGGTAGTAAGTTAAGGGTTGTGGTGTATTGATGTGAGGGACACGAGATTAACGACTATCAGGTTCTTCTAACATCTTGCTACTTACACTCCACTCAAACTATGTTTCTTCCGTGTATACAATATGTCTATTCCGATGCAAAGATATGCAATTTCCTTATTGTCGTGAACCCTAATTTCGCGATACAAAATCATATGATGGAAAGTAGACCTCAAAACGCACTGTTTGTATTAACGGTTGTCAACATTGTTAATCTAATCTGCATCCGTCCTTGGCACGTAACGTCGGGCTCGCGTGGTAACATCGTACCCTAAATCCGGCCAGTGGTCTGGTAATATGCTCGTCCGTTAACTACCTGTCTTGTGCACGTGAGTATATGACCGGTCATATGCGCGTACACATATGACCGGTCATATGTGCGTCTGCATTTGCCCTGTCGTTTGCACGTGTGAATACAGCCGGTGGATTGCGCGTGTGCGTACTACTGGTCAAGGGCAGTAATGTTTATGGCCGGTCATATGGAGTTTCATATATCTTCAACTAATGGCAAATCGTTGCTCCTTTTCTCCTAGTAGCAAAGAGCATGCAACGTACCACATTCCCTAAAATTCTTATGCAGTAGTTAATATCCAGCAATCAAACTATCCCCGTAGCACTAGCTTGCTACGTGATACACACCTGACCCCCCATATTTCCCCTTACATTTCTTCCGGGTATGCTCCGTCGAGCCACAGTCACCGCACTTGTATCTCCGTTTAGGGGCTTCACGCCTTCGGTTTGATTGTGGCCGCCCTGCTCCTCTCTGCACAAAAATAGGAGGATCACAAACTCCCTCCTCAACTGGCTCGTTTTCAGCAATAACCGTGTCTACACACGAATACGGAATGAGAGACCCATAAGTCCTTTTCCAGTTGTCGGCCTTCCAATACCTGGAAATCAATGGTATAGGATCCATTCCCCTCTCCCGTAAGTGTGCAAATGCATGTGAGCATGGGAACCGATACTCTTGCCAGTTTTTGCATTCGCACAATCTCTCTCCGACATCATTGTTGAAGGATAGAGGACGTGGATCCAGCAGGGAGCCCTTGTTTCGAACCATGGCATTGCTTGGACCGTTGCGTGTGACCCTATAGCCACGGCTTCGGTTCTTTTTCAGCTCAAACCGCTTCTCACCCTCGACCGTCAATGTATGCTGCCAGTTTAAAGATCTCCGCTGTCCATCCGAGTAGATCTTTGCCATCCAATCCCACATGCCCGCCATTACGTACGTCACGGGCAGAATACGGATCTTCTTGATAGCGTTGTTTATGGACTCCACCATTTGGCTGCTGTAGATACCAAAACGACATGTGGGGGCATAACACCGTGCCCATTGCTTGATGAAGACTGTAATCTTCTTTTTCCTCTTGTACCTGGGGCCATCCTGTCCCGTGCGAACAATTATACCCGCACCTTCCTCCATCTGGTCCCCAGCCCCTTGCTGAGCATCCGCATTGCCCAACCCACCCAACCCCGTCTCTGGATCGCCGGTGACGTCCGCACTTCGTGCTGCTTCGTTGCGCCGACCCATGGGGGGGGGAACACGGTGCTGAAGTGTTGGATGACGTTGTGTTTGGCTCTCTTGCGTTGGCAAATGAGGGTCGGTTGTTGCCCTGTTGTCGAAGACACTGGCCCTTCCAACCCTTGCATCCCGTTTCCCTCTAAGAATCTCCTTCCGCCTTTGCCGCATCTTGGCCGCTTGTTGCGCAGCTGCGTTGGATAGCGTAGTGGTGGGATCTGAGCACTGGCCATTATCTGTACCGTCCTCATCCCCGGAATCCTCCCCGCAGCTGATCTGACTCCCGTCCTCCACCTCAAACTGGTCATTGAACACTTCTGGTGTGGCATCTGTTTCCGGTTGATTATTGTCCAAAGGTGCCGGCTCATCTCCTTGGTTATCGCCTGCGAACGAAGGGAGCACAGATGTTGGTGTGGTCTCTTGAGCCGATGAATCGACAATGTCGGCAGCCGGCGAAGGAGGCATGGAGGGAAAGGTGCGGTTAGTGGTATCATCTGCCGCCATTGTTTGCTGCTGCTCTCCCCTGCTTTGACGTCGTCTTTGCCGCCGCAACTCCATCCTCGCCTTTCTTGCCTGTTTTGCGGCACTATTCATGCTCCTTAACTCATCTCCTGACTCTGGCACGCTAGCTCGTCGGTTGGTTTTGCGTCGGCCACCGGTCTGTTGCGCACGCCCTTCTTCAACCCCGAAAAGATAGTTAGCCATTGCGGCGCACTGCTGCCGGCATCTCCTCACGAGTTTCCCAAACTTCGCCTTGGTGCGGCAGTTGGCGAGCTTCTTGAAGAGGTCCGAGGCGTTGGGCCCAAACTTTA